TATATATATATTTATGTATCTTCATCCTGTCACTTTATGGTACTAATGCTATTTTTCTTCCGTATTTTGACTCGTACATTTCGCCCAGGATTGGCCGGGTTTGTTAAGTCGCGTTCTGTACCCAGCCTGGTTGCGGGTGAGTAGGTCTTCCGGTCTTACGCTAGATGTTACTCAATGTGTCTGTTAGTGGCGTGATATGTTTTGTGTGCTACAATACAAAGTTCTGCTGTGCTGTGAGTGTTGCCCATGGGTGGTAGCAGTTGAGTATATTAATATTCTGCTGTGCTGTGTGTGTTGCCCATGGAGATGATAGCAGTTGAATATATCATTGTGTGTGTCCTATTGGCGGAGTGTTGTGTCTGCATGATGTTTGTGCATGCAACCTATTGCACAGTATGTGGTCTCAGTCACAGTCCGACTCTCTGACACCTCATTGCCATGCGATACAGTCATCTCGTTTGATTTATACCTTCACCGTACCAGTATGTGACACGCCCAAAATTACTTCTGCTGAGGCCCGCTTTCACACTTTGTACGTTGGAATGGTTAGTACACTGTGGCGTACTGTGTTCTTACTGGATTGATCTGTTGTTAACCCTGTACGCAAATCCCCACACCACCTGACCTGCGGGTATGGGCGTGTACTGTCGTATGAGATACGTTGTCGTAAACGCGTTTATGTTTCAGAGCATACTGCTTGTCAGGACACGTATGCTTTCTAGGCACCTCCCTATCATCCAGTACAGCAATCTACATACACACATCACCAACCTCGACCCTACCAGCATTCAACCGTTGTACTTCTCTCACCTCTCCACTTCTCTGCGTGTCTCGTTCTGTGTCTTCTGTCAACACACAGGCATGACCTTCGGCGGGCTATACGCGTACTCGTCTTATTTGATTAGTTCGAATGAGGAGATTGGTCATGATTTGGCTGCGGCAGCTTCAGCCGCACTGACACTGTCGATGGGCCGCAGGGCTGTCAGGTATGTCTTGTTGTGTGGTGGGTGTCTGTGTGTTACTGCTAGTGTGTTGTTCAGGTATGTCTTGTGTGGTGGGTGTCTGTGTTTTTTACTGCTAGTGTGTTGTTCAGGTATGTCTTGTTGTGTGGTGGGTGTCTGTGTGTTACTGCTAGTGCGTTGTTGTGGTCTCTCCCTTTGATATTGCTAGCTGCACGTGCACTAGATAACTGGTTGTTTTGACCCGATTTAAAATGCTTTGCACTACCGGTCAGATGTCTAACACAGCCAGCGATGCCTATTCTCTTGCATGACCATCGACCGTAGATACACTCCAAATCGTGTGTGAAGTAGTACTAGGTCCTCCCAATACATATCGTGTTTATTTGTGGTCAAGGTAAGCGGGTCAGTCAAGTGGTACTAGTTCCCGGGTATTGCTTAGTCCTTGTCTGTAGCAAGCTATGCCCATCTCGGAAACTATACTCTGCCCACATCCTTAGCACATAAACAGTACCTTTAGCAACGACGCAACCTCACTCATACACCCTCATGTACACTCACCATGGTATAAGTGCATACAAAGTACCATTCTTCACCTCACTCACACACCCTCATGTACACTCACACACCCTCATGTACACTCACATACCCTCATGTACACTCATACACCCTCATGTACACTCACATACCCTCATGTACACTCACACAACCTCATGTACACTCACTGTGTGGTCTGATACAGAAGTGGCAAGTTCATGCCCGCTGGTCTCGTCACGGGACTGGCGCTGGTTGCAGGGGGTTACAATGGCTACAAAGCAATGGACTACCGCGGGATGATTTGATTGGCCGATAGGAAAGCAATGGACTACCGCGGGATGATTTGATTGGCCGATAGGTAGCACCCAACCTCCTTTCTCTGGTGGAGACCGAGGTCAAAGATAGTACATCATAAAAAGGGCCACTAGAACGGCTTATTCTGTGCGCAATATTGTAACACGTGCTTATTGATAATTACCGTTGCAGAGGATTAGTAACCACTCCCCATTGTCCGTAGGCCTGTCTTTGTTAGAGGGAGGGTAGATGCTCTCTCACATGTGTGGCCGTACTACACTCTATATGCAGTGGGGTGGATGGGTGGTGGTGCACTAAGGTGGATATTATGGGAGGGATATGAGCTAGCAGGACCGTGCAATATAGTATTAATGTACAGAACTTTCTTTGTACGCGTTTGTTTAAACCCTAAAAAAGAAGAACCTCCCAAACATCAATAATTGAATACAGGTATATATGTAAGTATGTATGTATGTATATATTTCATTATATATGTATGTATTTATGTATATATATATATATATA